CTACTAATGGGTACTTTATAGGAACCTTAAGGGATCTATTTTTTAGATCCTTTTGGGGGGTCTGGGTAATTAAAGAATAAACCCTACATCAATATTACTAAGGGTTTAGGGTTTAGGGTTAAGGGTCTCCTTAATTGAGGGATATACCTAAAACCATAATAATAAGGTCCCTATAATTTTAGGTATATTCCTTAGTGAAGATGTGTTGGGTTCTCTGGGAAGGTCTTTTGGGGGTGTTCTTGGCTTCGAGGTGGGTGTGGAGGGTGTAGGGGCCCTAAACCCTAAACCCCGAAAGCCCTAAACCCTAAACCCCTAAACCCCGAAAGCCATAAACTCCCAAAGCCCCCAAAACCCTAAACCCTAAACCCCGAAAACCCCGAAAACCCTAAACCCGGGTTGAGGGTTTAGGAGATTCCGAGTTTTGGCTTTGGGGTTTTCGGGGCTCAGGGACCCAGAGAACCCAATACACCTTAATTGAGGAAGATGCCTTAAGTTATAGGGGCCTTAATATGATGATTTAAGGTATATTCCTTAATTAAGGATACCCTAAACCCTAAACCCTGAATATTATGGGTTCAAGGTATATTCCTTAATTAAGGAGACCCTAAACCCTAAACCCTAAGCCCTTAATGTTATGGGTTTGAGGTATATTCCTTAATTAAGGAGACCCTCCACCCTAAACCCTAAACCCTAAATATTGTTAATTTAGGGTATATACCTTTAAATTAAGGAGACCCTAGACCTTAAACCCTAAGTATTGTTGATTTAGGGTCTGTACCTTTTATTTATAGGGGTCTTGGGTTCTCTGGGGAGGTGGGTTTGAAGAAACGGGTTTTGGGGTTTAGGGTGCAGGGTTTTTGGGGTTTTGGGGGTTTAGGGTTTAGGGTTTGGGGGGTTTTCGGAGTTTAGGGTTTAGGGTTTAGAGTTTTTTGGGGTTTTGGGAGTTCGGGCTGCCCTGAGCCCTAAACCCGAACGCCCTAACCCCTAAACCCTAAACCTGAAACGCGCGAGGGTCTAGGCAAGAAGGAAGACCAGCCATGAACAAAAGCGAGCAGGATACAGTCAGCGGAAGATTGGGTTTAGGGTTTAGGGTTTAGGGTTTAGGGCGACAGAAGGAGTAGCACGAATATGTGTGAATCTTCCTGCGCAGGTAAAATATCAGCCGCGCAACTGCCACTAGTAGTCATGATAGTGGTATTGCCATGCATGTAACTACTACCAGTTCCCACCAACGCTCCCCTTCTCTTCGGGTCCAGGGTACGGGTCTTGGGGTGAGCCCTAAACCCTAAACCCTAATGAGGACTTGGGGCTTTATGGCTTCGGGATCCGTTGGAAGCGATAACGATTAGGAGTGCCGTCGGTTTAGGGCTTAGGGTGTTGAGTTAAACCCTAACCCCTAAACCGGAACCCCAGCCCCTCAAGAAAAATTAAATCCTAAATCCTAAACCGGAACCCACCCCTCAAAAAAACTAAACCCCAAACCCTAAACCGGAACCCCCCCGCAACAAACAACTATACTTTAAACCCTAAACCTTCGGGTGTTGAGCTTGGTTCTATTCACCCTATGGCTCTTCTTGTCAGCAGGCAAAGAGATATCAGCACTGGCGTGGCTGTCGTCGTGGTTGTTTTGCTTATGGCCATCTCAGTCGACAGCCCTAATCCCTAAACTTTCCTAAACCCTAAACCCTAATCCCTAAACTTTCCTAAACCCTAAACCCTAATCCCTAAACCCTAATCCCTAAACTTTCCTAAACCCTAAACCCCAAGCCCCAAACCCTAAACCCAAAACCCTCATCCCTAAACCCTAAACCCGCAGAGCCCGAGCCCCAAAAAACGCTGAAACATGCTGCAGGCAGTCATGCCAGTAGAGCTGAACCTGCGGATTGGGGGAGCCGAGTGCCCGTGCTGTGTGGAGGCAGGGTCCACGAACCCAGGAGCGCTAATGTGCGCTTAACAGAAACAGACCAAAAACGTATCCCTTTAAGAACCCACTACAAGCTTTTACACCGGACAACCCGATTTTCAGGGTTTTGGCGAGGTCACCTTTTGTTTTCTCCTTAAATTCTTTAAACCCTAAACCCTAAACCCGAAACCCTAAACCTTTTGTTTTCTCCTTAAATTCTTCTTTGGAGGATTTATTTCCTGCTTCCAGCAGGTTGGGTCCGGCTACGGATACGCGGCTTCTGGGTTTAGGGTTTAGGGCCAGAGCCACGGTTTAGGTTTAGGGTTTATGGTGTAAGGGTTTAGGGCTTAGGATTTAGGGAAGTTTCGGGGTAGACTCAAGTATCTGAACTGTACGATTCTTGTTTGTTCTTGTTTGTTCACTTTCCCCAAACCCTAAACCCTAAACCCGAAACCCTAAACCGTTTCCCTGAAGCAGGCCGTCTCTGGCGTCTTCCTACCTCTCGCCGCTGCCGATCTCGCCCTGGCCCGGCCCATGCGCCCGCCCGGCGCACCCAAG